TCAGTAACGCAACAAGCGTTGGATAACGGTTTTGAAGAACCACTCTGTCTTCTTCTGCCAAAATACAGCCTGTTTCTTCTAAGTCCTCCATTTTGCTTCTTATTTTAGGACAGCAAGTATGCGCCTTAACAGATAACGCGCTTCCAAAAGAGTCGTACAGTGCAAACCCTCTACTCCACGAGCAAATACAACTTTATCATCTTTTTCAAACGCCGAATCGATTTTAGGGACTTCTTTGGCAGGATAGCTTCGTGTAGGCAACTCACCAGCCTAATCCTACCACCACATAGACACCACTTCCTATTAGAGGCCACAACACTTCTAAGAAACTTGCTGAAAATAAAATAATTTATCACAGAAAGTTCCTTTCTTCCTCTTTTTTACCTCCTACCATTCAATATGGTACTCACCAATTAACTTCTTTACCCCTCCATCCCTCTTTGAATGTCTACTATGTGTCCCAACCAATTTTCACTCCAATGCTAGTTCATATGAACCCGTTCCTGGTTTATTCTATAATAATCTTTTACAGACTTCGTCATCAGATAAAGTTTTCCTCTCCGTTGTTTCCCCCGTTAAACAATACTTTCGAAAAAACTAACACACTAAACCTTCAACGGAGTGTGAAAATGGCCTTCCTCACGCCATACTGAAGACATTCCTCGATAAGCAACAAGTGCACAGAAATCACTTTAGTAATTCCATAATGTTGTTGAGCGCATGAAAAAATTTTTCATATCTCAGAAAAATTTTTCACAGAAGACCTTTAAAATTTCAAGCGAAGAGCAGCGGGTATGGCAGTGAAGATCCTTACCTTATACGTAGTCATCCGTTAATTAAAAGCTAATGCCATAAAAAGTTACTGCTCTCAATGCAACAATCTAAAGATGTAAACTTTGAAATGAATACACCTGTAACAAAGATTCTATCAACTCCTATATAGTACTAAAAATGCTGTAAAAGATAAACCTATCGTAAAAAAGTCTATTCAAAATGAAAAAATCAAAAAGAACTACAAAGCAATTCTAACCATCCAAATGAGCAACTGAGAATCAAACGCTGTTTATTACTGAATGTTTCGGAGATTTCCAATGTTGTCGTCTCAACAACAACTACTTTTTCTAATAATTACCTAATTCATCTCCAAAACTAGACTAGAGGCCTTCAAAACAAGGAAATCCTGACTGCTAGTACATAACAAACAACAGAAGATTACTAAATTAATAATTATAAATAAAACTGATTAGAGATGTCATGTCAATGCAACCAGGAAATTAATTCCTGTGAACATATTTGCATACACACAAAAACGCATAAATAGAGAATTTCCAAGAGGTCATATAATAAAGTAAAAACGAAAAACTACTCGTAAACATCTTCCTTATCGCAAACATATTTGAAAATATCCCTCGGCGTTTTCATAAGATCAGCATCACCGTCAGGTATTTCAAAACCAAATTCATCTTCTATTGCCATTATCAATTCAACGTGGTCCAATGAGTCTAAACCAAGATCATTCGTAAAGTCGGAGTCCAGTGTCAATTTTTTAGGATCGATCTAAAAAAGCAATGTACATCCAAAAAAATTACTTTGTACTGAGAAAAGTATGGGTCAATCAGGAATCTTCTGGTAACCAAAACTTCCTAAACAATGAAATAGATTCCAACGAGTGATTAAAAAACCTACTTCTGAAAGAATTGCAAAAGTAATCTCAACTTTTGAATATCTTCGCAATTCTAAAGGATCAAAAGACGTAGCAAGTTGATATTAGAAAAACTTTCAGCACCATATGTTTGAATCATGGAATTTAAAATACAAAGTCATGTGCAAAAAAATTTGTGAAAACACTTCCCGTTTGAAGTGCTTGTAACCCATTTACTTGTTAAGCAGTAAATTTCAAGTATTTTACAACTCTCAATAAGAAGCGTTTTGCTGCCTACATATCTAAATTTTCTTTTAATTCAAAAAAAGATTTAGCTAGTAATAGTTTAGTCTATTTGGCCTCTTTTTTTAAAAGAAAAGAACTAGCAAAAAAAAGTTTCTTACACAAAAAACCTCAAACTACATCTCACAACTCCTCTCCCAATCCTCACTACTACTCTAATCAACTATGTTGCCTCACAAAGCACCATAAATATTGTACATGGACTTGTATTGTGTGGCAACCCTCAAAAATCGCGGTCTAACAGCTTTATAATTTCTAAAAAATGAGTCCTGTGCGGCGGAACAATCAAAGAAACCAGAGTTGCTACTGTTACCAGAAGATAAATTACTAACAGTTTGAAAGATGATGACAGTAAAATATAAAACACCTTGTCGTAGAGACTTAATACTAGAATGATCCTTTCCTCCACCGTTTTCAAAGTGAGGTACGGCTTGGGAGTGTAAAACCGAACCTAAAAGCCAAAACGAGTCTTCACAGGTACAAAATCAACCCATCAAGCAGAAAGAACTAGACTAACCTAAATTTCTAAAAAGCACGCTTCGGAACTGCACTAATCTGCTAACCTGATTTAATGCTGCAGATGACGCCCCTAACATAGAATTCCTAGCTGATGAACAGGAAAAGTGGCACGGAGCTAAATGACGCATCGACCTGACAAACGAGAGGGTGAAAACACCACGAAGACCAACATTCGCTACCAACTTCAACATGCTGCCCACCTCCTAGAATTAAGTGAACAACAATACTGAAACTGAAATGATGACGAGAGGCGATGTCCCGAAATCTCAGAGCAACAGGAGAGCACACTGAGTCGCGCCCCGGAAACGTGGCAATCGGCAGCAGCTTAAGTCTGAGTGCTAAGGATTGGAAGTTTGTACTAATACATCTTTGCAAATCTCTAATTACTTCAACATACGAAGAACCAGGACTTACCGGAATCTTGGAAGTTTCCTACAACTGAAATGAAAGATAAAAAAGGCCAGCCAAACCCATACTAGACAACTTCTTAAGCAGTATTGTGGAAAGAAACGCCCGGTGTAATTTTTGAGGCTTTATTATCAGTAGCAATCGACAAGTCGTGAAGGAAGCCAAAAGGGCAGGATATAAGATAACACTTGAGACCCATATGTAAAAGTGTTGTAGATGAGAACTCATGTATTTCGTCGGGCAGTAAAAACAGCAAAAAGATGCAAAATTAAAGAAACTGACTGCACAATCAGATTAAATGGATCGGAAAGGCTAACAAGAACACCTCAAAAACAAGAAACGAGTATCAAAAAATGTAAAACAAAAAAATTCATTGTTTATAATAATAACAACGAAGAAAATCTGGAAAAAATTGGAAAAGAAGATAAAGTTCAATTGAAAGCTCGCACAGAAGTCAGAAAATACAGAACTGAAACAAGGACCTTGAGGCCAAATAAAAACAATGACAACTGTAGTCAAAAAAAAAGTACAAATGTACTAAACACGGTCATATACAACGACGTTACAACAAAAGAATCTAATGAAAACTATGACACAAAGCTGACTCAGAAAATTACTTTCTGAAAAACAAAACAAAAAAAAGAAGACCTGAGAATCATGAAGAGCAGCAAGTTAATAAAAAGCGCACCTTCTTAAATATACAAAAAAACTGAAGACAACGTGCCGCCTCATGAAGTTCGTAACAAACAAAGTGAGAGAGAACTGAATGTAACTCAAAATACAAATAACTATTCAAGAAGGTTGCCAATTTTGTACTAACTTTTAGAGATGACAAGTTAAAGAGAACTAGAAAGATTTGCAAAAAAATTACAACTGTTATCGGCTCTAAGCCTTCACTTGTTTGAAACCTGGTTTACGTCTGCAAATATTCGACCTTTTCATCCCTAGAACGCTTTACTGGAACTTCGTTATTCGCTGTCGCTGAAGAGCGTGCAAAACGAGCAGATGCAGTATTTGGCGGGGTATTTACAGCTACCTGTGGAACTTGGCGCTGCGACTGCGGAACTTCGTTAGAAACCTTGAAATTACTATATCTCCGACAAGGATCACCCCCATATTAACTGATTCTTGTAAAAAAGTCTGCTGAATACGAGCACGAAAAGTTAGTAAACAAAAAACTATCTTAATTCTAAATGAAAAGTGACACTCCCCCCAAGCGAGCAAGATTCTGTGCCAACTAATAGATACCAGACATAATCTATAAAATAATTGGAACTCATTTTTCAATAAAAGGGAGAAAAAATGAGATACCGTTTGTGTAACTGAACGAAACTGCTGAGACTGTCGGTATGTACGATTCTGCATATTATTCACATTAGTAGGGGTGCTTACGTTTTGAGCTGTCACAACTTGGCTAGTCTCAGTAGGCATAAAAGCGACTTCACTTCTAACCAACGGTACTGCAGAAGTTTCAATGGTACTCGCCGCCTAAAAGTGTAGTAGTGCAAAACCCCATCTTTTCGAAATCTGAAATCTACTCAAGAAAAAAACGATACCGTGCACACCTGAACTTGAACCAACTGTGTTCCTTCTGGGCCCTGCCATGTCAAATAATGATTGCCAGACGCATCCAACAAAACTTGAGCGTTAGCGGGCAAAACACGCAACACAGGTTCAGTTCCATTAGTAACTGAAAGCCCATAAATTAGAGTACAATTTGTTGCCACTACACGGTATCTGTAAACTAAAGTCACAATTAAGATTTTACCAGGAACAGTGACTGGTTGATAAGTTTCTCCAACGGCAATTGTGCTTGAACTAGGTTCAGTTTGAATTGGCTCTTGTAAATCTTCCTGAAATTTTAGGAAAAACAAAATTAAAGAAAAATAAAACCATAGTTTAGAAGCTATGCCATCTGATTAAGGACGTTCACTACGAGATGGAAAACAACTAACTGTGGGAGACTCCGCATATAAACCTGATAACTGATCACCACGACCTCGATGCGCCTCGCGGAACCTACAATAATATTTAATCCAAATAACTAGCTGAAGTCTCTTCATACAGTGAAACGAACAGAAGGTACAGAAAAAAAGAGAAGTCAGAATAAATACTTTTGCAGTGCATTAAATTTAACGATTTTCTGGTCAAATTTCGTGTAGTCGAAGAATATGAAAGACGCCAAATAAAACCTTTTCATGTATATTGTCAAAACGTCGGCATATTCATCAAGATCCAAAGTACGAATCGCGTTAATCATATCTTCCACAGTAATAGTCTTGCGCTTCTCCTAAAACTAAACTTTAATTCATAACTAGAGCAAATGAAAAAATCATCACAAAACAACCAAGTCACTGAAAAATGATTTTCAAAAGAATTAAACATTAAAAAAACGATATCAATTCAACAACATATTTTTAAGTATAACATCAGCATTTCACCGCCCACGAAAACCTCAGGAAATAAAAATAACGAAAATCAGAATCACAAACAAAAAAAAAATTTGGTAAGTTATTAATAAGTAAACAGCAAAAATGAGATACAAATGCCTACTAATGCCAGAAAGTGGAATTTCAGTTTGAAAGCACTATGAAAGAAAAACAAATTAATCACGATTACATGAAGACATTTGTCGCTAGCTTCGGAGGTCAGAAACGAGATAAATTCTGAAACGCATTCTTGCACACATTCTTTTGCTTCTTTGGCAATCTTCCCATGACTCGGTATTGCTCGCTTCATTATTCGTCCAATATTCGCTGTAACCACATAAGTTTTTAGAAAGTATTCTTCTACTTTTAAAAGCCTAAAATTTCGAGATTTAATCTTCAAAAAGAACTTTAAATATGAGTGAAATAAAACTACCTATAGGAAGGAAGCGATCCTGTTCAGGAATCAAATTCGAAGACTCCCCTATATTCTCTTCATCGCCGTCCAAATGTTCAGTGGGTGAAGCGCTACTACGCGAACCATCAATTTCTTGGTCATTCTAAATGCACGTATAACTTGAGGTTTAAGCTAAGAATAAACGTGCCTTCATTAATAAAAAAATGAAATTACAGTTTAATTTTCACACAAAAACTTCATTGGTTGCGGCGGCATGACCACACCAAGTAAAAATAGTCAGTAAAAAAAAAACAGTTATCAGAAAATGCAAAAAAAAGTGATTGCGGCATGAGTTTACCTCTGCAACAGATGATACGCCATTTATTAAAATAGGATTTAATGGTCTTCCATGACCATAAACTGCCAATGCTTCATTAGCCAACCTGCTTTCGCCATTACCGTCCTGCTGCTCAACCATATTGAAAACTAAAAATTCTTTACAGTCTGTTCCAACAAGATACAGTCAATTACAGCAAACCTGTTGAAATAAAAACATAAAAAATATTAAAAGGCTAAACGTGTGTATAGTTGAAATGAATAAATCGAGTTCCCATTAGGTTTCCCATTTCGAGGAAGGAAAATCGGTGCAGTCATTAAGCAATGAAAAGTCCCCACAACTTTACAACAGTGTACCCAGTAAAGACGACCTAATGCAACAGGCAGAAGAAAATAGTTTGAAAAAAAGAAAACAAACAAACTGCCCTATCCCAGTTGAACAAACAATATCAAAAACTGCTTAACCACTACCATCAGCACCTAGAGCAATAAAAAAATCTGCCAAACAAACGTGCAGTCAAACATAGGATCAAGTCCGGTGCTATCATATGTTCAATTCCTATCAATGCATATCTACGTTCCGCAGAATAGCCTTGTTGCTGGCAAGATTCCAATAGTCTTAAGCAGGAATTTCTCCGGATCTCTTCCTGCCCTATAAACCTGACTTGATTTCCAAGAATCGATATGGTTTCCAGTGACTAGGTTTTCTAATGCTTCATCTTTGGTTGCGTTGATTCAAAAAGACAATAATGCATCAGGAGAGATAACTTTCTTGCATACCACGTTGAACTCCCTTTTACTTCCATTCCACAATTCTTATCAATGCTGATCAAAACTCAGTATCTGGTGTGACCCTAGCCGACCAGTCTGTTTATGATGAGCAGTTTACCTTGAACAGTTCACTCCTAGTAGGTGGATAAGGCCTAACTAACAATGCTGATTCGCACCAAAACAAAAATCTTCACCGCTCATTTGAAAAATCAAACTTCTCTTTATTACTTCTTATCTTTCATAAACTGGTATCCGTACTTGACGGACTACAGCCACTAAGATGTTTTTCTACAGGTATCCTAGTTCCAGGATAACTTTGTTTCAACAACTGAGGACTACTTACCTAAAACCCAAAACAGCACCGTTTGATAGTTCCAGTACAAGAACAAAATAAATCTACCATTCTTTCAAATTAAAAGTAATTCCCGCTCTTTTTTTCCAGATATTACAGGCATTGATGGTCACCCAAAATCAATTTATCTACTAATTTGTCATATAGTCTTCACACAAATTTTTTTAAATTTACCAAATAATAAGTTTTTCATCCCTGCTGTTACAAACACTTTCAACCTGAAGCAAACAACCCTAAACAAAAAGTTGTAGCATGAACAGTTCACAATTAATTTCTAAAAAAGATAAAAAATAAAAAGACCACACTCGTTCAATGAAGTAAACAGGAATACTTATACACCTGTCAGTAATGAAAGCTTAATTTGAAAAAAAGTGAACGTTATTGGTACATAAGTTCATAGAATTTGAAAAGTGAAGACGTTACAGGGTCAAAAGGAAAAAAAAAAGTCTACTTCAAACAATATTCCAGTACCTAACCAACTCCTTCACATATGCGATATGATTCGACGCGTAATCTGTAGCTGGTGAGCAAAAAAAAGATCATAACATGAAGAATTAGATCACTGGAACATTTAAAGTTAAAGTTCTGAACCAATACAGAAAGCGCTACACCAGACCAGTCATACATCTATCATCCTGACTGACAAGAAATCTCAACCACCAAACCAGTTAGAGAAGATACCCAATACAGTTATATAGGCGGATTCAATCCTAATTTCCACTGGGCGGGA